TGTGTTAGTTAGTGTGTTAGTTGGGTGCGCCATGTCAGCAATCCGTGTGCTTGTTAGGGTTATCCGCCACGTCATCCATCCACTAGGAGTGGGATGGATGGTGGGGATTAGATCTTATCACCTTGTACTTGTTGGTGAGAGCTATATAAGGGAGAGGAGAACCATTGTTGGTATCTCTCATCTTCAGAGTTTACGTTTCTATCTTCGAGTGAACTTCTCTCTAAATCCTAGTGTTACAGGTGTAGGGGCGAAACTATTCAAGTATCTAACTAGTCACTGGCTCTTAGCATCGGCAATCACCCGGAGGTGTAGATCCGAACTACTCAAGTCTCTAACCAATGTACTAGCTCTGAACATTCGGCCGAAGGCCTTCAGCTACAAAATGCGGAACGCCAAGTTGTAGCTCCTCTTGCGTGGTGACAGACTAAGGACACTAACACGCAGAGAAAATGAGTTCCTGATCTACACTTCCGAAATTGGGAAAGAACACAAGGCAAGACGCCTTGAACTACTTTATACCTTCTGAGTCCTAACTAGCACTACACTGCACTATGCTACACGCCATGATGCGAGCCGCAACAGATCCTACACCTGAGGAGACGGCGGCTGCCTTCCCCTCTAACTTACAACCTAAATCTAACCCTAACCCTAAATCTGAATCCTAAGCCTACTGTACAGAGTCGCCAGCGCCTTTACATCCAAGATCTGAGGCTGAAAATTTGCAAGCATGCGTGGCCGGCTGAGATCAACGGCCCCACAAAATTTCAGATCCATCCAACCGTCCATCGCAAAGATATGGGCCCCGCCGTTCTGCGTCCCACACTTGACATAATCCCGCCAACTCCCGCCATCGGAAATCTTTTGCCACGTGGCACCGAAGGCCCTTGAGCCGAAGGCGGATCTTCCGCCGGCTCCTTTCCTTTCCTGCGCTGCACCGGAGGTGAGTCTCACCTATGCGTAGGCGCTCGCCTATGCGCAGGCAGTCTCCCGTCCGCATGGAGTCGCATATCTATAATAGTTACCCCCGTCGCTCATAACTCACAGAACCTTGCTTCGTTTGAAACGATCTTAGGCTCGTTGGAACAAGCGCGTCGAGCTCTTTCCAACGAGCCCCTAACCAAGTCCAACCATTAAAAATTGAGAAAGTTATGACGGTTTTACTCTTCCGCCAAAGGCGTTTGCCTATGTACTCGCAGGCGTCCGCGTCGCAAGCCGACTACTTGCTGGTGTCCGCCTACTCGCAGTCGTCCGCGTCCGCGTCGTTAGCCGCCAACTCGCAGGCCGCCTTGGGCCGAAGGCCCCTCTACAAGTTAACGCCGAAGTACTCTCTCCTAATCATGATAGCCGCTTTCGACGTTCATAACTCAGTAACACCTTATCCGTTTCAAGAGTTCTTGGTCTCGTTGGAACGAGCGTCGCGAGTTCTTTTCAACAAGACCCTAACTGAGTCAAGAAGTTACGAATTGAGAAAGTTATAAGGGATTCACTCTTCCGCCGAATGCACTCTCCCGCATCGCCGAAGGCGTTGACCCGAAGGCGTACATCTAGGGCCGAGGGCAGATTTCCCGCCGATGCCGACGCGCCTGTGCGTAGGCGGCCTTCGCGGTGGACGTCCCGCCGACTTCAAACCCTATTTCGCTTACGCGTAGGCGGACTTCCCTCGTCCGCGCATAGGACAAACTTTCCTCGCCTACTCGTAGGCGAGAAGCTGAGTGTCTTGCGACCTTCATAACTCCCACATTCCTCCTCTGTTCGTGGCGTTCTTGGGCTTGTTAGAATCAACGCCTTGAGCTCTTTCCAACGAGACCCTAACCAAGTCAAGGCGTTGTGAATTGAGAAAGTTATCAGGGATTCACTCTTCCGCCGAATGCACTCTCCCGCATCGCCAAAGGCGTTGACCCGAAGGCGTCTACCGCCGAAGGCGCATCTTCCGGCGGTTCTTCTGCCGAAGGCGTACCGCCAAAGTCGCTCTACCGCCGAAGGCCCCCCATCAGTAACTTCTGACACTCATAACTCAGTGACCTCTCATTTGTTTCACAAGTTCTTGGGCTCGTTAGAACCAGCGCGTCGAGCTCTTTCCAACAAGACCCAAAGCAACTCAAAGTGGTACGAATTGAAAAAGTTATGAGTGATCTACCGCCGAAGGTGCTCGAAGCGGATCCTTCAGCATGAACCGCCCGTTCCGTCCCAAGGGTCCCACTGTGGCCTAAGCCCAAAACCCCTTGACTGTCCTCGATTCTCTTTTTACTATGGTTTCGCGTACCGATTACTATTTACAGCTGCGGCCGCGGTACTTACTATTCAAAAATGTTTTAGTTCCGACAAAAAACAAAAAGTGGGTTACCACAACATTCCTATTTAACGAATTCTGTCCATGATGGAAACCATGGATATAGAAAATTGGTGCTATATTGTAACAAAGACCGGAATGAAGTTCTGTTCTGCTCAATACACAAAACTTGCAGCTGCAAATATTGGTATATTAGGGCTATAATCTTCCTAAGTCATGCTTCCTTAATCTGGCAAAATCTTTGACTTTATAGAAGGAAAGTTTCTGAATTTGTATGATTTGTGATAGGAATGAGAGAAATTGTTATTAATGAAGTTAATGAATTCCTTTAAATGAAGATGTGTAGTGAAATACCTTGGAGAGTGATAGATATAAGAAAATGAAACTGATGTTAAGATACGCTTATCATTTGACCTTCTCTTCTGATGAATTGAACTTCTTATTCCCGCTGTAATAAAACTTGGGCCCTCTGATATATGAACTTCAAGTATGTAACGCTTTCCTTGATAGTTTCATTTATCTTCTTTTCGCCAAGCAGCCATGAGATAAGGTGCACTAAAATCGGTGTTTTAAAATCAATCGTATGATATTATACCTTAGATATAATCAAACTGTATTTTACAAATTGAACTGTGGATCATTTATTTGTCCATACATTAACTTTCGATATACTTATTGAAGTGAAACCAACAAAGGTTGATGAAAAAACTTGAATGTAATGTGATTTATTTTATGAAAATCTAGTTAACTGAATGCTAGATCAGTAGAAAAGAATTTTAAAAAATTTAATTCATCTTTTAGCCTTCAAAAATTTTTATCATTTTTAAATTTTTTTGAACACTCTTAGATGTATTACAGTCATAGGAAATAAACTTACCATAACATCATGAAAGCCTCTTTTCTTTTCCACGAATATATAGTTAAAATTATAAGAAGTTTTATTTCAGTTTGCTGCTGACTCTCACATAAACTATAGAAGTGGTTAATGTTTTGATTTGATAATTTATTCTGAAAAAAAACATTAACATTCTCAAAATTTGCACAGAAATTGAGATAATTGATCTGGATATATGAAGGTTCTCATATAAATCTATTTCGCATATTCGTCGTAGAATAAAACAAGATTTATAATGAATACAATCTCATGAGAGTTTTCGGAAGGATAATCGCGCTAGACAATGAAGAAATGGAAAACGCTCGGTTGATTGCAGAAATATGTTCTTTGGTTCAGGACGAGAAGTATATATTTCTACAATAGGCTGGAATCTGCAAGTCACGGCCCGTGTTAGGAATATGTTATGTTTAAGTTTTTTTATTCAAAACTGCCTGCAAAATTCAGCGAGCCATACGGATCTAAGAGCAGGCACTTTCTCACAAGTTTCGAGAAATAACACAAGAAAGAGAATGTTCTAATATACAGAGAGTATCTTATCTTTACGATGTCCTTTTGATTATGGTAGAAGTTACTGCTACGTACGTTGTCACTCAGGCTTGAGATAAGTACTTCATAACAGTCGTAAGAGATCGAAGAAGTCACCATATTCATGGAATAATTGTATCAATAATTGAAAATCACGTCAACTGTGTATAGGTTTCATACTACAGTACAAATCCCTTTCTCTAGGGACTGACGCGATCTCCCCTTTTTGTGTCTTTTTGGAACTCCTCCTGTCCTTGGACAATTGAGGTTCATCTACTCCTGCTTACGACAAGCATGTCTGTACAAGCTTTTGTACCTTGCGGTAGGATATGTACAATCATACTTTCAAACATCAGAAAAGACATGAAGGTACGTGAATAGTGGATCAAAGAATGTAAGGATATAATATTAAAATATTCTTCAGGGTAACCATAAAAAATCAAATCCAAAAGTGAGCAACAAATTCCAAATACAAGAGAAACATATTTGTTTTCAATCTCTTACCAAAAAATGAAAAACTGGGTTCCACTTGAAGGTTTATATTTTGGTTCTCGAGATCAATTTGTAAGGAAATGGGAATTTCTTCTTGTTAAACATTCCTTTGTGAAGACGTGAAGTAATGCTAATAAAATATTTTTTTCGTAACTTCAATCTGCAATTTACTAGTCTAGCACATCCTAGGATTAGAATTAACCGAAAAATCTCTGGCCCACACAATGTGCATTATCAAAGAATGCTGCTGCAAACATTTGCAATTTGCAACTATTTGAACCGACTTTCGAATGCTACTTTTGCATGTCGATATAAACCTCGAGCCCCTTAGCAACAACAGAACAGCACAAGAACTTTTCATCTCAGCTTACAAAAAGCGTCAGAAGTCTTATTGTAAGTCTAAGCTGAGTACATACGTGCTAGAACACATCATGCGGTCTCAGTCCTCCGCCTCAAAACTTCTGCAAAAATGTTCTTTATTTATTCAATTTATTACAATATGATATAAAATAATGATTAATGATCCCAAACTTGGTATCAATGCTAGCCTCACCGAAGTCCGTGGCGAAGGAACTGCTGTTAATAAAGCAGTCCTTCTAAAGAAGGCCGTGCCCAAAAGTGTGGAACCAGCGGCGCAGGCTCTAACTTCCTAGCTCGACAAGTGGACCTCGGGGGAACAAATGTCAGTGAAATTGGGTGCTCCGAGATTCTGTGAGCTTTAGTGCTCGAGGTCCCACCGTCCCACTGCAGACATGCTTTTGCAGTGACCAGCATCTGCTCCATACGTCAGTGGCGCTGGCACGTCTGGAATCAACAATTTCCTCTGCCTTTCCTGCATTTTTTCGTTCTACTCGTTCAGAGGTCAGCTTGCAGCAGCAACTTTGTCCATCGATGTTCGTTCATGATTGTGCATCGTTAGAGCGACTACTACCAGCCTGGATCTCTCGGTTCTGGTACTAGGAATGAATGAGTGGCGGCTTCTGTCAGGAGATGAGAATTTGCACCGTGCATGGAACGACGACAGAAGAAGAGCAGAAGATTGAGTTGTTTGTTCTCAACGAGGTGAGGCCCATGAGGTTTGAAGAAATTGTTGTAGAGCTTGGCAGTGCATGTCCTGCTGCTTGTAGATATCCAAGAGCCTGCAAGTCCTTCTGCTGTTTCTTCATGTTGGTGTGGCAAGAGCTGCGGTGTACAGATAAGACCTCGCGGCTCTTAGCGCGGGCTGGGGAATTGTAGAGTTTAATGGGACGGCAAAATAAGGAGTTCGGAAGGAAAGGTCGCCTGGCGGGCTTATAGAAAGGTGCGGGATTCCTATAGTAAGGATGGCGAGGGCTACAGCAGGCTCGCAGGGTCCGTATACAGGAATGATTGAGGGGGAGCACCTTCGACAACAAGGGAATCCGTTGTTTTCTGACGATTGTCAGGGCCACCTCGATGAAGTCAGATTCAATTTGCAGTTGAGCTGTAATTCTGAATGATTCTGACACTCTGCCAGTGGAATTTCATTGTAAGATGTGCAGAACTATTTGAGGGTGGGTAGCAGAAAGCCCGTGCAAGGCGTGGAGGTTTTAGTTTGGAGTGTGGAACTTTACCCTGTGATGGACGATGACAGATTTCACTCGAGAAGATGCTGAGAATTTCTGATAAACTTGAGAGAATTCACTCGTCGAGAGAAACTATCTAGTTGGACGAGGCGCGACCAATTGCAGACCAGGTATGAAGCTCAGAAGTGCATCATTCTTTTTGCGTTGCACACGGAAATCAAGGAAATTGTCACCAAATGTGTTCAGTCAAGCCTGGGATGGAAAGACAGCAACAAAGAAAAAAATTTGCCGATACACTGTTTGTAAAATGGATACAATTATGAGCAGATATAGAAGTGATAGGAAATGGAGAGTAAGTTTGCTGCGCTCTCAAGCATGAAGAAACTTAGAGGCCTACATGTTTTTTGATACGTTTCTTCAGGTGAGCGCCGAAATATGGTGATGAGTATGGTGGAGAACACTGAACCGGGAATGGAGAAGCCCTTGGAAGTGGAGAGTCTTGTACCAGAAGGGAAGGTCTCGTTTCTGGATGTGATGAAGCAGAGACGGGATCGTCGAGCAGTTCTCGCCGTGGTACCATCTCTGACTCTTGGCATTATGGGCGGGTAGGTACTTGCATGTGACCCATCTCAGTTTCCTTCTCCATGGAATCTGCATTTCTGATGTGCGTTTTTTCTCAACCCAAATCGTCGAAGTTTTCAAAACACTTTCAAAGAGAGGTGCTGCAGCTGCACAGTTTGCATCTTTGAATCTAATTTTATCCTGATAACACTTTGCCAGTAATTTTATCTCGTCTGATGAGGTAGAATCTACACGACGTCATTTTCATCTGAAGCTGTTTGGAACGGTCGTTCGAAATGAGAATGCAGGGCTGTTCTCCCTGTGGCGTGGGCATTCAGCGTGACGGGTATCATCTGTGGTCTCCTCATAATGTTGATCGTCGCGGCAGCTAACACCTACACATGCGATCTTCTCTTGAAGCAAGCCTACGCTACCCAAACTTACGATTACGAAACTCTTGCCCTCATGATTGGTGGTCGTAAGTGGAAGGTATCTCCTTGCCAACATCCTTTTCCAGATCAATAAAACTCGCTCGACATTGGTCAATATCTTTTCTACATGTGTTAAATCATGAGGCTGAGTGAAAGACTCCTGTGAATCTATCTGTAGATACTTCTGTGAAGATAGCCTACGTATATGTCACCCAAATATGTTTAGCTTCAACCTATTCTACTCTTGAAACTGTACAAGAGCAGCAAGTTGTATCCCTAGTTTGCTACACCAGCTGCCACAAGATAGCTGAAAAATTCAGAATCCCGGAATGAATTCTGATTCAATCAGTTCTAGCTGAATCTAGAAATGCCTTTTCGTGGCTTCTTACGTGGAATTTCTTGATCCAAATCAGCTGGTTACAGAGATAAGCATTGTGATACTCCTTCTCGGAACTCTGATCGGACAAACTGCACAAATGGGTGAGGTGGGAACCATAGGATTGGATGCGATTTCGCCAAATCTTCCAAATTGGCTCGTTGGAAGTAGCGGGCGTGTCTTCATGGTCCTCGGCACGGTTTTAATCGCTGCACCTCTGTGCCTCGGAAAGCAGCTCCGCCAGGTACGATGCTGTCCTGCATATCTGCAATGTACTTCGTCTATATTACGAAGTGGGCCAAACAAGTTGGTCATATTTTCCATACAGCTTATTCCTCGGTGAAAAATTTGAGCTGCTCGCTGCGCAACCTCGGGGCAGTAGAACAATGTTCCAAATGCAAATATGGCAGATCCTAAGTATACCTTTCAGCTGGAATATGCAGGAGTGATCGGAACCTCGATTGTCATTTGGCTACTCATAAGCGTGGTGTTCAAAAGCAGTAGGGAGGATTTACCCGCAATTCGCAGCAAAGAATTTGCAACTGTGGGTTTTAATAATATTGGTAGGAAATGCATACTTGTCTCTTAAAGTTTACAGCTTGAACAGCAAGTTTGATTGCTTACACATGTGCCTTGAATCTTTGAGCAAGTTCTCCTTTTTCTGCACGTTCGCAGGTGACGTGACTCAAGCAGTCTCCATATTTGGCTTCGCATTCTACGTTCAGCCGATAATGATGCCCTTGTTGGTCGAAGTACCTGACGGTATTGTTGGGGTGAAAATTGTCTCCTACTCAATGCGAATCGTCGTACTATGTGAGGGCTCTGTTCCGTTTGTGTATTGTCCTCTGTATGTCAAAAGTAGCAAAAGCCTGTCAGGACTTGACGATTCGAGCTATGCAGAAAGCAAATGAAACTATGAAGCTCTCTCACTTACAACCGAATGGACTTGGTGCTTGGGACCGGTATGTGAACCAGTCAATGCGTTCATCATTTACTTCCTCGTGGGATTCTTCGGGGCCGCTCTATATGGACAGGCTACTGAAAGCAATATACTGGAGAATGAGTGGTTAGGGGGTGGCGTAGCTCAAGGGATTCTCAATCTTTCCATGGCAGGTAAGAATCGTCTGCTCTCCAAATCTCCATACGTCAGAAGACCGCAGCTTCTGAAGAGGTCATAACTTCCAGCTTCGAAATTCAATGTTCTTACCAAACAATTTGAATGTTTTTTTTCCCTGAATGTAACGGACGGGAAGGGTGACGTGTAGATCCTCGCGTAGCTTCATACTTTGTGTGCTCAGATCGTGTGGTGATTTGCGACTCGTGGGATGCAGTGTATCTATGTTTGTCCGTACCAGTCGTAGAGTTTCCGACCAGGCACACCATCAATGGCTGGCTGCCCGAAACCTTCATGAAGGACAGAGCGTACGCCCGTCAATTGATCATCACGGCGACAATCCTGATCTTTTCCCTGGGCATGGCTCTGGCATTTCCAAGCAGCTCGGGAAGCGTTTTGGTAGTGACTGGAGCAACTGGAGTCTGCATGGTATCCTACCTGATACCGGTTGTCAATCACTTTCTCCTGTATTACAACAGGTACGTCCGACGAACGATCTCCGCAGATTATACAAACTTGTCACCAGTTGAATCAAGATCAGAGCACATGTAAATCTGGTACAGATAGTACTGGCTGGCTGGTTTCTGTCTCGGTCAACATGTCCAGTTCTTCATGTTCGTGGTCGATTCAATGAACAGAAGGAATGGAAAGCTGACATCCGAAGAGCATTTGTTTCGATTCAGCTCGCAGATACAAAAAGAAGTCGCTGAAACGAGGATTATGCCGGCAGATATGGAAGGCAACAGATCGATCGTTGATTCCCGCAGAACGAGACTCGCTTCGTACTCGGTGCCTCGGGATCCTGGAGTTGGTCCCGTAATGAAGAATTTGTCGAAGAATATCATCTTACCCGGAATTGTGCTTTCTGTTGGTGTGTTCTGCAGTATTGCAGCCCTGACCACTCTGTAATGCCTCAACGTGTATAGGAAGCTATTTTGTGTATAAAGTATCGGGAGAAATTGTTCCTCCATTGCAGATTGAGAGCTTCGGACTTTGAGGAGACATCCACAGCACTTCAGCGAGCAGATGTCTTTGTTTCCGTGCAAATTGTAAACTGGAAGATCGTTCAGGTGTGAGGTTTCTTTTGCTTTAGGAGATGGCTAATGTTTAGATCTGTACCACCATAACCGAATTTGTGAAAATTGTGTACACGGAGTGAGTAACTAGTGACTAAGATAACGGACATTATGTCTCCCATGTAGAGGAAAAGTGTGTGTGTAGACCGTACTGTGTGTTATGAAGATAAATGAATTTAGATATTAGCTCGTGTTATCTACGATCTTTCATGCTTTAGTAAACAAAGGGTCCGAAGGAGATGGCAAAGTTCTTAAATATAATGAGTATTATGTTGAAATCATATTACTTATAGAATTTTAGATGCCATGGGCCAAGAACATAATGTCACCCATAGAACACAAGTAACCTCTTAATTCAGAGATTTTGCATTGAAAACAGAACTTTCGTTATGAGACTAGATATCATAGAAGTCACATTATTCTAAATCGTATTTAAGCCGATTTCTTGATTTATTGTCAAATAACAAATTTTATTGGAGCCATAGTAAAACACTATTGCGAATTGGTTAGCTACTACAGAGTAGTGAAAGAAATTGTTAGCCACAAATGTATGGGAGTTTGTCCAAAATATAATAAACAACTGTAAAATAATATCAGGTAATAATTGAAGGTCTTCTTCTCTTGGTGTACATCTTTCTATCACAGTAACTATTGTTGTTTTGTCGAGGTTTTATTTCCAAATAGTTACAAAGGGAAGGACACAAACAAAATTTTTAATCAGTGAGATATTTGTACACTTTTCCGCTTAAAACATGTGTTATCTGTTTTGTTCGTAGTATTTTCATATCAAGTTGATTGATAAGTTTAGGTTTTATTCTTGTTGACATACACTGTAATTGTGTGCTATTTAAATATTCAGAGAATAGCTTAAATCATTTTATCAGCGAAATGACATAATTGACAGAAGATTAAAAAAAGTTCATTTTAAAGTTTCTTTAGACGCGAAAATTTCCACTCACTGATTAGAGTAGTATCCAGTTTTATTCAATCCTGAATAATATTTCCGCGCTAGTCACAAATGACATATTTTTCACATGCGGCCAGAATTTGTGATTATTCGTAATAACATCTTGATATTCCGATTACAGGATATCTACAAAAGACATATGCATTAGACACAGAGTAAAATACATTTTTCCTCACATACATTTCTTCAATATTACCAAAAAAAAGTATAATAAAGATGTTTTGTCTATAGAGGATAAAAATTATTTTTCATCGCTGTTTTCTTTACTCATTCATGCCCCTAAAAATATTAGATACTCTGTATGCTTATAATTTTCAAGTCTTTATCGATTTTTAGATCTTAAATTACTTCAACTAGCAAGATTTGTGAGGATACTAGGATCTTGGTTCCTTGAGAATCTTGAAACTTGACTGAGTCATCTTTTCACAACATTTAGATTATCTTTTGGCTTGGTTTGAACATATGCACCATCATAATGTATGACTCAAATATGGATGTGTATCTGCCCTTCATGTTGTGTGATTCAAACAAACTCATGGTGCAATTGAAAAGCATAATACAATAATCCATCAAGTCATTGACTTTATGATGCTTGCCGAAGGATTGAAGTAGACTACATGGAAATACAAAATTATGACTTATACCTCACTTTATGACATACCTATATTTAATTGAAAGAAATGTAGAATTTTAAATATTGTTTTGTACTTAGATATCATACAAATAGTAAAATTTTAAAATTGATGACATGATATATCCAGATTCATTGAAACATTTGTCAAGACTCTCATATATCATAGCTAATAAACCTTGGAAAGATAGGGATGGGAATAATGGGATTACTTTGAAGATAGTGAATGAGCTTTCTATTACTATAACTAGTCAATTTTGATCACAATGTAGTTGAACGAAAACAGCCAAACTGGATGAAAGTGTATGACCTAGGGTTGGAGGCACAACAAAATCTTTCGAGGCATGCCCATGCCCACTTTCAAGGTCAAAAGGCATGCCCGTATTACAATACATATATTTGATGTATCAAAAAATATACTTCTGTGAAAACACAGCACAATTAGAAGGAGAAACAATCAACACTAAAATGAGAGTTTCAAACCCGCACTATAGTAGAATCTCGAAGTGTCTATCTAAGGAATCAAAGCAAGAGAGAACACGTGCTTATGTTAACTGCAGAACAAAAGGGCCAGGCAATTTCGTGGCATGGAGCATACTCCAGCACCAGCCATATTCATATCAGCCATCAAAAATTATGCAGAACAAAAGGGGCCAGGCAATTCATGGAGGGAGTGACATGTAGCAGAGCTAGATCTAGTTTAGTGGAAATCGTCCAAGCCTCAAGGAAATATAGTTACTCATGCTAGACATCCGGTTCATTTGCTGAAGTTAATAAAGCGGGAGGACCTGTCTACATCCCACGAACCGACACAAAAACATCATTGTACATACTGGGCAAATCCTTCAGTTCCAATAGCAGTTTTAGTACCATGCAGCCCCACAACAAGCATAATTTCCCATTTATTTCTTGACTTATACCACCGTTTATAACTTTGAATATACGTATAAATTTGGTAGTACATACGGGCATGCCCCCGTGCCCTCGCCCGACCTCGTCACTAAGGGCTCCCGGGGGCATGCCTTTTGAGTTGTGCCTCCAACAATAGTATGACCTCGTGTCATACAGTAGACCTTCGCTATTCTTAGTCTTCTTGTCGGTCCTCTTCAAACGTTCTGCTGTCTTTTACCCACAGCAAGTACAGAGTATACTATACTCTGTACTCAGTATAGAGTACTCTGTCGAGTTCATGAAACTAAATGTGGACTCGACAGAGCACTCTATGTCGAGTCCAGATCAATCAGTCCAACTGCCTGAGAGATGAAATCACAAGAAATGATAAATAAACGGTAGAGTGTTAAATCTCGATGCTGACATGAAGCAAAGCAGACTACATGAAAAAGCAACGGCTAGAGAATTCGCTTCACAATAATGATTGGAATTCAGGAATAATTGTGTCATATCCAAATGGGAACTAGAGCTCGCCTTAAATGTACCGGAAGGCTCTTGCATTTAAAATGCATTACTGTGCTACTTCTCTTCTTCGTCACAACTGCACAAATGGCGACTCAATCGTTTTTCAAACCACAACAGAACATTCAACTTGAAATCCTGTCCACCACAGCGTCACAAGACAGATCTCGAAGACCCAAATTTGCAGCTTACTGATGTTACAGGTAGTGGTGCTTTGTCCGGTACTTTGAAGCACTCAACATGGAAAAAAGCTGTTATTAAGTTGCAGATGCGTCGAATAATAAGCTCATTGTTGGAGGTGGGGTTCTTCCATCAGAGTGGCTAACAGATCCTTGACTTATATAGTCAGTGGATTTCTACGTTGAGCTACTTGTAAAACTGAAATTGCTTTCATGGTAAAATTGCAGCTGTTTTCACTGTTATCTCGTCGATCCGGCTCGCTCTCCTGCCGGCTCCTCAACTCGGATATAGAACATATAAGTTCAATACCCTACAATTGCAAAACTTAGCTCCGAAGCATCAGATTCCAGGACTGTTTGCTTTCATGAAGGATTATGCAAGTTTATGATCATGGACACGATCGCTCGTGATATTCATATAGAATTTGTGCCTTGAGAGATCGATATTTGTTCATATTTTAAAGCTTTGATTGATCGATCCTAGCTGCTGGGTTTCATTTTCAGATGGTTCCATTACTGACCCATTGAAGGAGGATTACCAGAATTTTCCGGGGCCTGCCTACTTTCATTGAAAAACATAGAGAAGAACACGAGGAAGCTTTTTCTTGCTTCTTCAATCGAGGATGTTACGGTAAAGTCTGGACAAGACTTGACCCACAGACTTTCTTGAACTTTACTGTCATGACTACGTTTGCATCCTGCAGCAGCAACATTCAGAAGCCATATTAAGCAAATTCTCATTTTGATGTATCAAAATTTACAATTATAGAGAATTTGACGTGGTCTAAATGCCTCAGCAGCTTTTAAGCATTCTCAAAGTGCATTGATCGGAATTTGTCTAAGATTCGAATGGCTCGTTAATAGTTGCTGTTCACGTGAGAGAAGAGACTCAAACCATGAGATATCTCTACTTAGACCGACTTTCTAAATCGAATACCCAAGTCTATACAGAAAGATAATTGGAGCCGTTCTAACCTTGATATCATTAGCAATATTTTCAGCCTCCGGAGACGGGTACTCTGCAGAATGGAGATGGAAATCAAGCCCATAGTCAGTCTTTTGGTGTCTCTCTAATGTCCCAGTGCAATTTCATAGGTGTCTCTGAGGTATGTGCAGCATTTCTGACCCAGAGCCAAATTGGGTGACGCCTATTGGAAAATTGTTGAAAAACTTCAACCAGTAGAACAACTAAAACAGTCTCAGTGAAATAGAACAATGATCAAGCGTAGGATCAAAAACTTTACTTGGACATTTGCTTCTGTTTTAAGATGAGGAAACGTCAGTGAAATGACGATTCTGACTGAGAAAAGGTCGGCCGCATGTATCGAAGATAGATTCGGAGTAAAACAGAGTGAAAAACAAGGTATGCAGCAGCGAAGAAGGGCGGCAAACTTAATCTCTCATCTCTTTTCCTAGTGAAAATCGAATTCCAGTGACTTCTGAGTAATTTGGCATATAAAACCTGAAAATAACTGAAAGGGAAGGTTGATGAGCTCGTCACCATTTCGAAATCGAACACGAATAGCTCCAACATCCTCTGACATCCAGCATGCACTGGAAATGGCCGACAACAGTAAAAAGTCCAGCTTGATGATCCGTCCCTGGTAGAAACTGGCCTTCGCTGCTGAGAGTAATCATTGTGCATCAACGGACATAGCTGGAAGGAAGTCCAAACAGTGTTTTACAGTGGACACACACATCTGCCCATGGCCCAAAACCTGATGATGAAAGAGGACATTTCCATACACATCCAGCATTCTAAATCAACCCACCGAGTGGGATGATTTAAGATCAACAGCAGGCGAGGTACTAGACTACTGTCGCTCCGACACACAAGTCAATCGAAGTCTACTGTCTTGGACGCGGGAAATGCTTTGACAGTCTTAAGCTGACAAGGACCATTGTCCAGTTGCAGTGGGCACAACCCCAGACATTGAGTTCTAGAGCCTCAGAAAGCAGATGAAATTGTCTTCTAGGTTATATTGCCTTGTGGTCACAAACTCGACGATAGAAGGTATCAAGAGAAGACACTGCTCGATTTGACTTAGCTAACGACGAGCCCTAATTGTGAAATCGGATGTGGAAATTTTGATACTAGTGAAACTATGCGAACAAGTCGTATTTGCGTTTGAAACATGCAAGGTTTGGTCATCGATCCCAGCTCCGGAAGATTTGGACTAATTGCCCGGAATGTCTGGAGGTTTTAGATAAATAAAAATGCTCAAGGGACAGAAACACATCGGGACTGATTCACAACTACAGGACGACAGGAGATTGAAACTACGTCTTCCACTAACCATTTCTACTTTCGAGAACTGGTTCGACGCTTTACTTACTCCATGACATATAATAAATCTTCTTATTTAGACAGGTAGGTACAGCACCCAGGTCTCCGCAAGGAACATTGTTCTGCATAAGTAAATTCTGCAGATTTCCACTCGCACATTATTACTTCAATACCATCACGCGGTATCGATGCATGCAGACCTTGTCAAGGCTTCCATTCCATCCACACAGTCGAAGATACCCTACCAGATACGAGGCACCCGAGTCACTTACAGACTACTGGATGGTGTGCATGACACTGCAATCATATCAATGATCATGATCTGTGGGTACGATGTACTAATGTACTGTCTGTCTACTCACTTGAGAGACGTGGATAAATCTTTCACTCAGAGGTCCAAATGGACCCGTACATGCAAAAGTCTGGGGCCCAGACCTTGGCCCTTCTCTGATGGGGAAAGACTGCGACGATGTGCTGGGACAGAGAGGTCGTTGAAGTCTTCCAAAGCCGCTTTAGAACTATCTCCAGTGTCTGCAAGAATATTCCATCTTCTGAGAGGACAGTGATTTTAGCGAGATCTTTGCTCTGTTTCGATTCAAGTTACGGATTACTGAATCACAAGCCGCTCGACGAAATTCGCCTTCTCCAGCAGAACATCTTCCATATTGGAAGTACTCAAATGTGCCCAAGCTAATCCGTAATAACAGTATAAAGTACTGGGAGGATGTAGAAACCAACTGGCAGAAATTCGGTTCGGTGAAGTAAAACAGGACAAATATTATATATGACCCGAGGAAGCTTCAAGAATTTTATATGTTTTTGAGAGGAAGCATCTGGGATTTTTGAAAACTATGTTGCCTAGATTTCGGCAATGGTTTGGTGACGAGATACATACATGTGCAGATTATCAAGTAGCTCTCCGGACAGATGGGGTTTTTTTCATCGACTCAACATAAATGTTTAATCACATAGTCCACACAATTATTTGGATGCTGACATTTGTCAATGCCACTGCATGCCATGATGGATATTCCTGGATTTCTACAAAGGTTAAGAGTACGAAAGAATAATTGCTGGAAACAGCTCTGTACCTTGAGTTGTGGCATTAAATCCATGATGACGATGACGGATCCGATGACTAAAGGGGACACATGCCTTTCCACTCAGGCCCAGGTATCTCAATTTACCATCTGGAATATACAAGGATTTACGGTACGATCCTGCATCTAAGGTTTAAATCATACTCGGCATTTCTGGAGATTTTCCACTTGAAAACAGAGAAGATACTGTTCTCAGATACTTCGAATCAGGGATCACATGCTGTGATGCCAGTGATGTGATTCACATCATTTGCAGGTCTTCGTGTCTTGATTTACATGCTTTATGTGATGTGAACCGTCTCCCTGTAGCTTGCGACATCTTGATTTCAAATCCTATTCTGGTTATGTCACATGGTAATCCTCAGCTAGAAATAGAAAACCTTGTTTTCGTATCCTTTCTTCGTTATGTTGGTATGGGTGCTCCTGTCAAGGAGCGTTCCAAAAATGTGAATAAGCCGCTAATGTGTCACGCACACGGTATTTTCTAGTAAAAGGCGAAAGAATAGTTCGCTCTGGGCTGAACACATGGCTGTTGCCAAACTCGAGAGAAGTTCCAAGCTAATCAGCCCCACACGAAGGCTCTTGTTGCGCACGCTGTATGGGTTTATTCCTCAGAAAGGAAGCTCAAAGTGCATGATAAGCTATAGAGGCCGAATATCCAGCAAAAAGACTTTGACTAGATGATATCCCTCACAGTTATGTATATGTACCTATGAGTCATAGGCTATGACACATCCAAACTAATTTCTCATACCATGGATTGTCACGGCTCGAGGATGTTGCCGTTTGTGGTCTTGACATCTTTGACACTTTTCCCGTCTCCAAGTTTTCTAGCATAGAAAGAGTTCACGATTTCTTCACTTGCCCTGGAATGTCTGCTATAAGTTTGAAATGGGCTTTGGAGATAATAAGACCTAATTGATCGAACACATTTTCTTCAAACTACTCGGCGCCTCGACAACCTCTCCTTACATTAGTCACGACTAGCTTCAAATTTTTTGCTAAGCACTCCTCATCCTATGGTTAAAACTGCAGGAGAAGTGAGAATAATTCTCTATATGCTCGTAGCTCAAACTTCTTATGCGCAGTTCATAGAACGATTGCAGAGGATACGCCATTGTTTATTCAACGAGATTGACAATTCTGTCATTTTTTTCTCATACTACAGTAGTGAGCATACAACATTATTTAAATCTGATTGAGGCTTTTTGTTTGAAAAATAAAAATCTTTCATATACTTATGTTCATTCCATTTGAAAACCTAGTTATTGCTGAGCATAGAATTTTTTTTTCCCTCCAAACTAAGTGATGAATATTCCTTCAACTAACAAATCTATGTCGATGATGGTGTTCAGTTTGTGATGATTATTAGAAAATATTTTTGCGATGCTTTACATGATTAAAGATGTTTATTTTTTTGAGATATGCATGTTCACAGCACATAAACTGAAACTTTTGATATCATATGAATAATACCGTCCATTCTTGTATGGAGATAAATGAAGACATACTGACTTAAATAAGCTACCAAACATGCTATACTCTCAACGATAAGTTAGAAAATATATCATTGTCGATCCTAAAAATATCTCATGTGAACAACAAAATATATTAATGCAGCTAAATTTCAAAATTACATCAAAATGTCATATTGTGTCTAGTTTTCACATGCACGATCAGTCCAATTTTGTAGTTTATTAAAAACCTTAGTCAATGAGAAAAGAAGCAACGATAATTTACTTTTTTGATTCGGTCCGGGGATTCTCGCCAAAGCCTCCTCTCTCTTAGAATTTAATATTTTCCGCCACGAGTTTGAAGTACGTAATCCAGCATAAGTTGAGGTGCAGCTAATTGAGCCAAATAGTCAAAGCTCCTACACTAAACTTGAGTGGGGACATTTTTCCTCTTTTCTTCGTGTAATTTTAGATGCCCTACGTCCAAGAAGCTTTCCGTATGGAATGGACAGTTTTAAGGCGCTCCTACCTGGCACTACGATATACTGCCAGGTAGGACTCACCATGCCACGTCAAGTCGTCAAGACATCAAGCTTACCCTTGCGTTTCGTCCAAACATCATGTATGTGTGGATCGTAGGGTCGTGCTAGACCAGAAATATGGCCCAAGGAAAGCTCTACTCATTGCATGAGGACAAGATGAATGAAGGACGGAGAAGTTACATCAATAGTTATAAAATCAAATCTATGCTCACCAACAACAAAAAGACGGTGAATAGAGGTGGATCAAGTCGAAGGTCATGTGATATAATACGTGTATAAGTTGGACATATTACAGAAATTACCCATGCTTCAGTATATAACAATTCAGAAACCACTTCAAGATAACCAGCGTTGGTGGTGAGTCATTTTAATTATAACCAAATATTGGAAGAGTGAGGAAAGACTGATGATCGTGCATAACTCGAAAGTAGTACTACTTTGGACTTCATTGTCTAAAATTGCATCGCGTTTATATTCCACGTCTTTCATTTGGATACTTCACCCTCCTTCGTAGAACTCTTTATCATCTTTATTGAGAACGATGAAAAATTTCGTTCATTAATTTGGCCGTTACATCGATTCTGTTCTGACTTTATCTGATAGAACTTATAAGGACGAATTGGTACTGACTAAATATGTATATGACACTATGATTTGTACATGAAACTATACTCAAAAGTCACATGACTCATTTGTAAATATAATTAAAATTTAAATCAAATCACCTCTTTATCGTTATATGACCGTTATACAATCTAGCTGAAATATTCACTTTTAATTTTCACATATAGCAAAGTATAAGGGAAGCTGGAAGAAATCTATCAAAGTTTGACTCTGTACTAGTGTTTGATTCAAGTAGTCAGTATCGACCACAAGACCAGTATCCGACCTATGTTGAATCCATCAATATTGCTGGTCGAATCCATATCTATTTTGGTTGCACGTTGATAGTCATCACTTGATTAGAATTTTTGTCCTATATTAAAAATTTCATTTAATCATAGGCTTGTAAATTGGAATGATGCGCATAGAGAGATTTTTGCACACAAATACAATTTAGCTTCAGGATTGAGATATAATTAAATTTGAATTATATCACGTACGTCTAATATATAACTTAAGTTCATATGATGATACATACCAATACTTTCACCACAACGGCCACGACTGTCTGATCTACCAACAAGCAGATCACTGGCTGGACTAGGACACCAACTTTGTATAGGAAATGTAACAACAATTACAGTGAGAAGTCCTTTTCATGGATAGATTCACAACGCATTTGCAAATGAAAACATTCTAGATCAAAGCACAGACGTACAACTTCAAGCAGAAACAATAATGGCACCGAGGGAGATATCAATGAACACTTTCTGATATTGGTAATTGTATTACACAATAGCAAGCCAGATTACATCTTATCTTTGATCACATCGTTCTTTGGACTCGCACTAATCATTGTCCTCCTAAAAGCACATCTACAGAGCTTTCATGGGCTCTTTGAAAATGCTCCCTTGGCATCTAGCACCCTTTACACTTTCTCTTGCCAGTTGCAGATTGAGAAAAGATTTCGCTGTTTCTGCTGGCATTCGTCATCATGCAGTCAAGCATGCATGCAGTTTGAAAACATTCAAGAATAGAACGTATCTGCATGTGCTGGACTTGTGATTCAAGAGGCAGTTCCATGGAGCTACCGTAGTACTCTGCCATGTATAAGGTCACAGTAAGAGCTATGGACAGCTCAAAGGTTGACATCCAAAACAGTAAACTTCCTGTCGTAAGAAGCGGCCTGCGTGGAGAAAACATGCTGGCCTTCTGTAAGTCGATCACCCTGGACCTCAAAACACCCAGCTATTCTTGACTGTGTCATGTTATCAACTGAAGATCCACATAGCATGCACGTCTGAAGAGTCATCACGTTATCCCGGGAGGGGATCCGGAGTCACGTTCAACATTGAGAAATTGCGGCGGACAATTCAGGATCATGATCAGGAGAATCATGGTCATTAGGATCAAATGCTGAATGATGGTGCACAAATGAATCCTGCATTAAATTTACTCCGGATACAATCAGCATCGTCCCAAGATAACCGCCGACACATGAACCCTGCTACTTGTTGACAAACTTGTGGGGATGGTCCTTTTGTGCACAAAGCTTGGAGACATCGAGATTCAGTTCATAAACTTGTTGACCTTTCGAACCCTGTGCCGTTCCACCCGATATCATATCTGGCTGTCTTTGTGAACCGTAGACATGCTGGATCTCGGAGGCTATGCTAAAAAGTTCGTAAAAAGCCCACAGTAATAGTATACAACAAGCCAAAAGGGCACCCGTTAGGAACGCCAGCAACGTGAACTCGCCAGAGTTCTCAGTGATATAACGAGACATGCTTGCAGTTTTGCTTCGGAAGTGACCACTTTTGAGATGAGTGATCTCAATAAGATAAGTCGCTCCGTTCGCTATAACATTCAGCGCGCAATTAAACAACTAACGTCATAGAAAGGGGTCGCAGTAGATCTTATGGAACTCATGGAACAAACAGCATCAGCAGCTTTCCATTGAAGCCTGATACGGATGCTACAGCAAATGCCAGCTCGTTTGCAAGATCATCAGGAGTACTTAGCTGGGCTATATAGTAGGACCGGCATAGGAGCTGTAGAAGAGTGATACTGTAAGATCTGTAAACCAGCTGGTGCCAAGTGATTCGTATTGTTTAGCTGCAATTGCAACTAAAGCTTCAGAATACTGCAGAAAATCGTGCTGCAGCTGCAAACTCGGATAAGTCTTCACCTCAGACGTGCACTTGTACAATTGTCACCACCAAGCAGAACAATCTTGAGCACACCGTTCCGACGAAATGCGTGAATCTCTGTCCCGCGAGTCTCCTCTGCTCAACACAAGAAGGTGACATCGACAGCAACGATGAGAATACGAGATGAACTCCTGTTGGAGGCAAGTCGGGTACATATACTAAACAGGCGGTGGCCTCCAGAGGTGAGCATGGTCAGAGCGTTGAACGTTCCTCTAGAGCTGGTGGGATTGCGCCCGAGTTGCTCAACGGATCCTTCATGAAGTTTTTTTGGATCCGTTCCAATTGCATCTTGATCTGTATGTCCTGCTGAACCGTCCAAATGAATGATGCTGATTCAAACTCTTGATCCGGTAACAACTATCAAAGTTGAAATTCCTCTCAAAGCAGTTATGAAAGCAAGCAGAGAAAGACTGTAATTCAAATCATAACCGCAGTATCTATTTCAATTTCGATAACGCTTGAATACCATGTGCCGTGATCAGAAACGTCATTATAGCTTGAATTCAAATAACAGAGCAGCTGATAGAGGTCCAAACAGAAACTTGTAGTCAGGAAGCTTAAGTTCTCCGGTTACTGGTATCTTGGTCTTCAGATCAACTGATCAAAGAGGCTCATCGAGGTCAAGTTTACGCACAATCTGCGTCGATTTGGCTCAGTACGTGATTCGTCACTATCTGGAGTTTACGAGATTGAGATCTAGATCTTTGTTATCATATGATCGTCGTTGATGCTGGTTACCAAGCTATTCAATCTCGACTTCCTAATGAGCGTGCCTTCTGGGGGGTTGTGACTGCGGATTACTTTTGTTACTGATGATCTATCTTCGCTGTTAGATTTCACCCACCAGCGACAGCACATTTGGATTGAATTCTGTGTTGAACACAGTTCTCGTCATTTTCCAGATTGGGGTGGGGTCTGAAACCAGCGGCAAAGCAGTTCCATATGATGAAGAAAGAGTTCTACTAGCGGTCCCTTGCCCGAGCAGAAATCATGCATTTTCCAATCGGCTCTGAGATTGAAAATGGCCTTCAAGCAATGTTTGACACTGTCGTGGTGCTGATGTCACTGACAACGATCATGATTGCTGTGTGGTACATCCTTTGGGGTTGTCAAGACTTTTCCAAAAACCCCGAATCTATGTGCACAAAGAAGGGAATGCCGACGAAACAAGCGACCTCCGCGATGTCTAAGCCTCATTCTGTGATTGATATCGCAGCAGTTGAAGGTCAAAAGGGAGATTGCGAGGCCAAGGGCCACGTTCCATATGTTTTCACCAGTATCGAGGTAACTGATTTAGATCACAGCTCTGGTTTGGTTGAGTTTCGAAGTTCGCGGCTCGCTGAGTGTCTAATTCTTCATCTTGCAGGACTTCCTCAGAGTTGACCATGACGGCAAGGATTTCAAAATTCATGAAGGTGATAAGCAAGTGCCGATCCTCGTGGATATGGATACAGAAGAGAAGAGATGTCGCGATCGTGAAAAGCGTGTACATTTCGAGCATTCAGCAAAATGACATAGATAACATGTACCTGGAGGAAAGTTCTGTCAATGTTGAGTTCGAGGTCGTGTGATTACATTCAGGCGTATCGTGACTTCAAGTTTATCCGACCGAACGTAAGGTTTAGCAAGTAAGCTAATGGGAATCACGATTTCTTCTACATGTTAGGAATCTGCGTGTCCATGACCATATTTGCTGTAAACTCGACTTTGGACAATGATAGCGATGCAAGCTTAGCTCATGGCTCATGAAACAGGATAAAACTCTGAATTTACTTGTAAGTAGTTTCTGGATACCAGAGACTAGTTTAATAAATTATTGCTGAGTTAATACAACTCAGTAATAGGCATTTTGTTTCCAGGATACGTTTGAGATAACGCAATGAAAAACTACTCATGTACGGAAGGCTGCTTTTGGGCGCTTAACTGAGTATGGACGAAATGTATGTCTCCATTGTGGAAATTCTCTCTCAAAGATGATCAGTTGATGAAAAGATTGCTGGGTCCACGATTGGGCAGAGTTTATATATTGGAAACTCTGAATCAATATCTTAAACTTAAAGCATGGAAGAATCAGGCTGTTATCCCTCTGCACCCATCGAGTGAAAATTCATTAGTCTTCACAACATTTGAAGAGAGAGTCCAAGGCTGACGGGTCATTGCATAGCATATAAGATCAGACGATGGAATGATACATTCGAATGTTCAGAAATAGGATTCTAGCCTTCTCCAAGTACCAATTATAAGGATCATTATATACGTTATTTTATGTTTAGAGTCTAGGCGGACATGTAGTGGATTGAGACTACAACCAAACATTGCATTGATACATCCCACTGTTCAGACTGTTGGCCCTGTGCAATTGCTATACGCGGATCATTCTACTGGTCACATATGGGTCTCAATGGTGAGACCCATGGATCGCAAGATGACCACGTTCTTGGCATTGTAGGCCACAAGATTGAGACCCATTCTTGCCTACAATGCCAAGAACGTGGACGTATCTACATCCTTTAATGAGAAAAAGTTTTTGAAACGCAAACGGCACTTGGGTTGCGAAATTAGTATCCTGTTGGAATTCGAACTAAATGATATCTCAATCCCATTCAAAGCCATTTTTCGACAAGGAAGCTGTTTGCGTTCAACGGTTTACTCTGTCCGGAAAGAAGAAACATGGGTTGTAATTAACAGTCCTCTTCATTTAAACACGAGTTTCAAAACGCTTCACACGACTAATATAGCAGATCTGATAACTCGTCATTCCAGACTTCATAGCTAGTTTGCCCGGATTCCATAGCTTCAAACCTCCGATGGCCAGCACATCTTGAGTACCTTCTTCTTCCGAGAGTCGGGTAGAAGCAATCTGAAGTTCAGATCTGCAACATTCGGAGATTCATAAGCACAGAGTTTGTGATGATAACTATGTCTCCTCGAGAACCATAGATCTCTTCTTCAGAACGCATCTGGTGTGCATCTAGAAGGCAGTATCTGTCGTCCTTACTCTTCAAGAGTGGTATCAGCTATTTGGAGAGGACTGTAGTGACTCCTTCAGCTATCTAGAATCTGTACTTCATTAACATTTTCTCTACATCCAGCGTTGCAAAATATATATGAATTGCGTTTCCAAACATGGATTCCGCTCAAGAAGGAGATCCGTGCTGTCCTGTCAGCATGAAGAAGAATTTCGAAGCATGGGACGACGTTATCCTTATTCTTACGATCTTAGTCGTATGGATTATTCTTTCTGTATGGTGGTTTCGTCGGATGTGTGCTTACTACTGCAGGCAACGCACCTCCGCACGTCCACAGGTGAGAGATTCATACAGCCAGACGGCCTCAGATGATGGGGCTGTGATGACGAACTCAGATGCTGAAGATGCGAGTAGAAAGCTCTTCCAGAATTACATTACGCTAGTATGAATATGGAGGTACTTCCAAGTTTTGCAGCACTTGTGCTATGATGTAGGTGGTGATCAATCGCAGAATTATGTTGCTTATCTACGGCTTGCCATTCTCAATCGATGAAAACTCTTCTACGCTGGTGAAGATGAAGAAGAGGCTATGCGCACATGTTTAGGGCAGGATTTGTGGTTTCTCAATGGCGGCTTGCGGATTTCAACAGAAAAACTACGGATGTATGAAATAGTTCCAGTTATGCATTGGATGCTACAATTATCCAGTCTACAAATTGGCTACAAGTTCTGAACATTCGCTTGCTTCTGTTTGCAGTCGCCGTCAATGGTGCTTGAAAGACGCTAAAGCTACATGTGAGTAAAAACTACATGAACGATGATGATGAAATTTGAAAATGCTGGATGTGGACTCAACCATTTGAATGAAAACGTCAGCGCTAATGCTTAAGTTTATTTTATACGGTTTTTGATTGTTACAGAATACACATACACATGCGTCGTGTCTGAAACGATTTAGGGTTTGAAACGATTTGCTCGATTTGTTCTGAAACGATTTAGGGCAAATGGTTTATGAAACGATTTGCAGTGACAAGCTGCATTAGCTGTGGAAGTTGAAATAGTCAGTTAGACATCTCATATTTCAAACAGACTTTTCACTGACTTAGAGGTTAGAAAGCTAGTTCAGCCACACTTGAATATAAATTGACTGGCAGTAAAGAAGAGTCGTTGGCGTATAATAAAAGAGCTATACAATTACATTACATCTTGTCTTCTATGTGCTTGATCTCTTGATCAGCTATATTGTATCTGGAAAAGGTTTGTGTTTGCTTCTATTACTGTTTATATTAAAATATTAGAAACTATTAGAAATGTAATCATAGCAGTGAAACTTCTCTTTACTGGGTACTATCACAGTCTATCAAATTTTCTGTAAACATTTAATAGTCTGGCGAACGCAATGATATTGAGACTTGCAAACAATGCACATTCTGACATGAATTATCCCAGAAACCAGTTCAAGTAACTCACAATATTCAGTACACAAATACAAATTGAGACTTGCAAACAATGCACATTCTGACATGAATTATTCCAGAAACCAGTTCAAGTAATTCACAATATTCAGTAAACAAATACAAATTGAGACTTGCAAACAATGCACATTCTGACATGAATTATTCCAGAAACCAGTTCAAGTAATTCACAATATTCAGGACACAAATACAAATTTCAAAGTTGTATCAACAATGCTACATGTTTACTAGGTGCTTCAGACATCGTTTAAACTCCTGTCCCTAGTAATATACGCGATCTGCTGTATCTTGAACGATGACACCTAACTAACTAAGCTCACCTCACGTTCTACCAGCCAAACACTCTTCATTTGTACTTTACTCGGTTTGATCAATTCACATGTAGGTGTTTTCAGGACGGTGTTATTATTTTTTGAACAAACATTTCAAGCCAAATCCTATCAGTTCAGCGTAAGATTGACAGCTTCTTCTTAGCATGATCACTCAAGTTATCAATTGGTTTTTTTAAGAACCACTAGATGAGTTATGGATGAACCATTTATCCCTCGACTTCTTCTTGAATGAAACTTGAATTCTTTTTTCGAGATTATTTTAATGTTCTCTAAATAGAATATTAGTAAAAAAATTTATTTGCATCATGCTTTTTAGATCTAAGTAAAATCCCAACTATAATAAACGTAGAGATCTATTCCTGCAACTAATTAGATTTTCTTCTCATTGTGGGTTCACTAAAAAATAAATCTCACTTGAGTTCAAGCTGAGCCATATAAATTGTATTAAAATTTCAATCAGCCAAATTGAACTTTTTTCTTTTTTGCCTGTAAGGAAGGTCAATAGTTATCGAGTTGTCCATAACATGATTCAAACCTACATTACTTAGGAACTGATTGTGTTAGGTAAGTAAAAAAATGAGTTGGCATATCACCATCTTCATCATCAATTAATAGTTGATAACGTACCCAAGAACTACGCAACATCACAAGTCACACAAACACATGAAAAATCAGATGAATCACATCACGCTTGCATTGTAAAATGACAGCGTCAAGAAGTCGACGAGTCATTGCTAAATTCATATAGTCATGAATCTCTCTTCTACGTCTGGAGCTCAATATGATCAGAAATAAAACTCAGAATGGCCACTGTATAATTTTATTTCTTGTGGTTAGGTGCACTCTTTTACTCTATGTGAAATATACATCCGATCTCCAATTTCAATATTGGAGTCAAAAGGAGGCTTTGATAACGGTCAAGATTCTGCTAGAAAGGCTTCGACAGAAAGAATGATGACTTTTGTCTACATCATTCTATATGTATTAATTAACAAATTTCTACATTCGTCCGTTGACGTTGTTTCGTTCTTCGAGAAATCTTTTTGGACATAAAGATGGAGGCTGAAACTTTGAACTTTGAACTTTGAACTCACACCTCGACGAGCTGTATCGATAAGTACAAAAGATAAACGCATGTCACTAAAGCTCTACATAGCTGTTAAGCTCTGTAGTTTGCCGACTAGTATTGTCTGCAAAACTTCTCAATGTTTAAAGTCCTATTCTTGGACCCTACTCTCAATAATCATACGTTGGTGGAGATTCACATATTCAAATATAATCTTTCAAATAATAGACAAACTCAAAAAGGTAGCGTGTGTGAGGATCACTTATGAGCTTATTTTTAGTTCAGCTTATCATTATTTTACACCAATTCCAACTTTCTAAAATATTCTATATCCAAGGCTTTTACCATGGTTCATTTAGCTGAACCCATTGCTAACCTTCGTAGTTTCTTCTTAGTCAACTCAAGAAAACGTCACTGTAATACAAGTGTATTGAAAATAATTGAAAAAATTGAAAAAGCGAACCATAATAGGAATAAGCCTTACATTTGCATTATAAATCTATCCGAGGTAAGCCCATGTGCTAATCATATGGACTTGTTTCCAAGCCTTCTGCATATGATGTCAATCAGTTTATACTCTTCTCACATTTCAAACATATTCAGAAATACTTTCCATGCAAAAACTTAAATTATCAAATCTTAATTTCTGAGCATTGCTCAGAAATCAAGAAAATCTCCTGCTAAAAGAACATCTCCAAATAATTATTTATTCTAAGAAATTATGAAATAAATATCCTTGATCAAGTCGGTTCGTTGTAATCAGCGATTTCGCCCATGAAACTTGATGTTTAAAGTCTAAGCACTTATGTTAGAATATCAAATAATTGATCATGAAAATATTGGCTTGCCTATAATTTTTTTTTCTCAAGAAATCAATATCTTCATTCTATTCACATTATATTTGCTTTAAAAACAGAACAGCAAATTTTTCATTGATCAAAACACGTCAAGCATGTCTACGCATTTTTTATTATTGCATATAAATTAGATTTTTATAATGTGTGATTTTTAATAATTTTTTCGTTTCCCTTCACAGTGAAAATATATAAAAAATAGTAAAACACCTAGAATATTTTGAAAAATCATTTTTTTATCACTTAATCAAATTTGAATTGTTGATATATTACTTTACACTTTGGAAACTTAAAAAAAAATCAAGATTCTCATGATTTATCTATTTTAAATTTTTCATCTAAGTTCTCTTCAATCTCATAACATACTTAAATATATTCTTCATAAGCATAGCACAAAAGGTAGGTTACTTTTGTGCCAAAGACTATGATGCTCAGTACACTATCAGCTGTTATTATTGTATCTACTCCTCCAAGGTGTGTCCCTCCTTAAGTCATGGAAGACGGGAACTGGCGGATCAACGTGGGCCACCTATTTACCATCCAACGAGGCAACTCATCATTTTCCTCTCATAGCCACACCATCTATTATTTCTGTATTGGTACCTCATGCTTTAAACTCTATATTGCTATGGTGAAAATTTTAACATTTAGATTCTAAAGTTCGCTTCTCCGTTGTCTACTTGCACTTTGTTTGGACGAAACGCAAGGGTTCGGTTGATGTCTTGACAGCTTGACGTGGCATGGTGAGTCCTACCTGGCATTATAACATAGTGCCAAGTAGGAGCGCCTTACGTGCTTAATACTGTCCATTTCATAAGGAGAGGTTTCTGGACGTAGGGCATCTCAACATACACGAAGAATAGAGGAGAAATGTACCCACTTAAGTTTAGTGTAGGAGCTTATCCCTGTGCAATTGCTATACGCGGATCATGCTACTGGTCACACATGGGTCTCAGCGGTGAGACCCATGGATTGAGACTACAACCAAACATTGCAGTGATACATCCCACTGTTCAGACTGTTAGCCATGTGCAATTGCTATAAGCGGATCATGCTACTGGTCACACATGGGTCTCAACGGTGGGACAGATTCAGATCTTTTTACCTCGAAAATGTGCGAAAGAAGAGAGCCAAGAATCATACAATGTGCAGCAATTCTTCTTAGTTAGATCAAAAACTGTTCATTTGGATCAAAAGTGCCTACATTGAGAAAAACGTGGCACGTATATACATCCTTTACTGAGAAAAAGTTCAGACTCAAACAGCACTTGGCCTGCGAAACTAGTATCCCGTTGGCATTCGGACCAACTGATATCTCAATCACACCCAAAGCCATTTTTGGACAAGGAAGCTTTTTGCGTTCAACGGTTTACTCTGTCCGGAATGAAGAAAATCGGTCGTAATTAATAGTCTTCTTCATTTAAACACGAATTTCAAAAAGCTTCGAACGACTGATACAACAGACCTGAGAACTCGTCGTCCAGACCTCATAGCTATTTGGAACGGATTCCGTAGCTTCAAACGTCCGATGGCCAGCACATCTTGAGCACCGTCTTCTTCCGAGATTTGGGGAGGTGCAGTCTGAAGTTTAGCTCTGCAACATTCAGGGATTCATAAGCACAAAGTTTGTGATGATAAATATGTCTACTGGAGAACCATATATCTCTTCTTCAGAACGCATCTTCAGTGCATCTAGAAGGCAGTGTCTGTCGCCCTTACCAACTTGCACACTGATACTCTTCAAGAATGGTATCAGCTACTTGGTGAGGACGGTAGATAAGAAATATGTACTTCAATAACATTTTCTCTACATTCAGCATGGCAAAATATATATGAAGTACGTTTCCAAACATGGGTTCTGCTCAGGGAGGAGATTCGTGCTTTCCCGTCACCATAAAGAAGAATATCGAAGCATGGGACGACATTATCCTCATTCTTACGATCTTAGTCGTATGGATATTTCTTTCTGTTTGGTGGTTACGATCTTAGTCGTATGGATATTTCTTTCTGTTTGGTGGTTACGATCTTAGTCGTATGGATATTTCTTTCTGTTTGGTGGTTACGATCTTAGTCGTATGGATTATTCTTTCTGTATGTTGTTTTCGTCGGATGTGTGCTTACTACTGCAGGCAACGCACCTCCGCACGTCCACAGGTGAGAGATTCATACAGAAAGACGGCCTCAGATGATGGGTCTGTGATGACGAATTCAGCTGCTGAAGATGCGAGTAGAAAGCTCTTCCAGAATTACACTACGCTAGTATGAATATGGAGGTACTTCCAAGTTTTGCAGCACTTGTGTTATGATGTAGGTGGTGATCAATCGCAGAATTATGCTGCTTATCTACGGCTTGCCATTCTCAATCGATGAAAACTCTTCTACCAGTATGTTTTAGAAGGTATTTCATAGAGCTAAATAGTCTAACTATTTAGCTCTATGCTGGTGAAGATGAAGACGAGGCTATGCGCACATGTTTAGGGAAGGATTTGTGGTTTCTGAATGGCGGCATGGGGCGGGATCCACAGAAAAACTACGGATGTATGAAATAGTTCCAGTCATGCATTGGATGCTACAACTATCCAGTCTACAAAATGGCTACAAGTTCTGAACATTCTCTTGATTCTGTTTACAGTCGCCGTCAATGGTGCTTGAAAGACGCTAAAGCTACATTTGAGCGATGATGTTGAAATTTGAAAATGCTAGATGTGTACTCAACCATTTGAATGAAGACATCAGCGCTAATGCTGAAGGCTATTTTTTAATGTTTCTTGATTGTTACAGTATGCACATACACAAGCGTCGTGTCTGAAACAATTTGCAGCAACATTAGCTGTTAAAGTTGAAATAGTCACTTAGACATCTCATATTTCAAACAGACGAATCACTAACTCAGAGGTTAAAAAGCTATTTCAGCCACACTTGGATATCAATTGACTGCTAGTAGAGAAGAGTCGTTGGCTTCAGACAAAAGACAAAAGAGCTATACAATTACACTTTATCTTGTCTTCTATGTGCTTATTATTTAAAAATTTAAAGCTCATTTCTTTCATCACTCAATCCATATTGAAGATCTGAGATAATACTTTACACTTTGTAAACTTTATAAAAAGTATCACTTTTTTCATGACTTATCTGACTTGAATTTTTTACAGAAGTTTTCTTCAATCTGATAACATAGTTGAATAAACTCTCCAGAAGCATAGCACAAAAAATACTTTTTTTTTGGTGCCAAACACAATGATCCGAATTACACTGTCAGCTGTTATCATTGTATCTGCTCCTCCTAGGTGTGCCTCTACTTAACTCATGGAAGAGGAGAACTAGGAGATCAACGTGGGCCACCTATTTCCTTTCCAACGAGGCAACTCATTATTTTTCTTCTAATAGCCACACTATCTATTACTTCTGCAATGGTACCTCATGCTTTAGAGTCCACATTGCTATGGTGAAAATTTTATCATTTAAAATCTGAAGTTCCCTTCTCGCTTGTCTACTTGCACTTCGTTCATTGACCGAACTTCCACCACGAGCATGGCAAACATAAAGATATATTTGTCATATTCGTCGTTCTCATATTCCTGTATCAGGTTTATTTATAGATATGTCCTTACTTGTCAAATTTCAAGAGGGAAAATTCTGGGCAATCTTCTTGAGCAAAAGTAACATTTCAACACAGAGATATTTTTGGAGGTATTGGAGCCACACATTCTGGAGACAACAAAGAAAGATTCCAATCTGCAGTAGAATTTACTTCCTACCTGAACGCTCACGAGACATGTGCTACAATGCCACTCTACTTCAATGATCAATCATTCCTCCAATGCAGTTCATGGATATCAATCGTTATAGTTTCATAGAAAACCAAAGCTACGATATCCCGACAAGATTCAAGTTCGTGCTTCCAATTTTTGGGGAAACAGATTACTATTTATATATACGTGGGAGTCTCCATGTGAAATAGTTTATTTAGTATTTCGATTCTCCCTTGTCTTTTCGAACTTTGCCACTAGAACGTAGCTAGTCGTAAATAAGTGCTTGTCTCTTTTCTTTTCGACCTGGCAAGTAGAATATATGAAAAATTCGATATTCACTTCATAAGTCGTTACGTTGATCTCGTGCAATAATTGCCAGCTAAATATTCCTCAGGTTCAAGTGACGAAGACTAGTTCAAGGTTCCGAAAAAGTAAAATCCTTGTCCAAATGGCTTGACGAGAAGCAGATGGACGTGCATGTCAAAGTGAATTGACCTTAAATTTTCTCATGCAAACTTGTCCACTTGAGTATATGCTGATCAAGATTGATTGACTCGCCACTCGACCAGTTTTCCGACACAGATCGGGTTGATCTCTAGTGGATGCTCGCGAGCATGACACTCTATACCTTCATTATTCTACGATGAGGCTCAAGACGCATAGAAACAACTTTGCTCATGTATCTCAAGTCTAACTTACGCCATGACAAATCGAATATTGCAGATGCTGATCCATATGCTGATCACCTGGTCGCAGTCAGCACAACTCCACATGCATCTGACTTGCTACTTCCCGTATCTCAACATCGGACCATGTTGTCTGAATGAGCACCTCAAGCGGTGAATGACCACAGGAACATAAGTCTCACCAGCCAGGTATACACAGGTTTCAGTTGCTTTATTTCGTGTAAGATTATTTTGAATATTCATGTGCTGCAATCATCGGACACATTGATGACGTACAAAATTCTTTCCTTTTCGTTCTGAATACAATCAACATTACAGGATTGCACACTGATGATTGCTGTCGAGGACGTACAAAGAGGTAGACGAAAGGATTTTTCAGATTATGAAGCGACATAATTGAAGCCAAATCATGTGGCAAAGAATTTCCATTCTCACTGGAAGATGTCGAAAATTGTCTACCTTAAATTTTTCCAATCTATCTTTCCTATCTACCTAAGACGTATCTAGACGTAGTTTCTGAACGAAGCTCATCATTGGCGTTAACGCAGTCGATCGAAACGATGCAAGAAGTCATGGTCCACGTCGTGACTGCGTACGGCCAATGAGGACCTCCGAGAATCTGCCAGCATGGCGTGTCTCTGTAGGTGGGGACAGCGCCATGCTGGCAGATTTACGGCGACGTCGGCCTTCTCAAAGTCGGAGACTAAACCGGAGAACGGCCGTCAAGAGTAGCGCCAACGGCAGAGAGCCGAGCGGCGAGTCCGCTCCGGCGGACGAAGCGATCGGCGGCGACGGAGGAGCTGGCGGCACGGGCCTTTTGGGCTTGGGCTTGACGGGAGGTGGAGGCGCGGGAGAAGGAGCGGGCGCGGGCGCGGCAGCGCAGGCAGGTGCAGGTGGAGGCGCCGGTGGAGTTAGCGGCACCGCCATTACGTCACCGAAGAGCTCGACCGGAAGCAAGACCTCGTCGATGGAGTACAGCACAAGCGGGCTCGCGTCGAACAAGGTGGACTGGAGCGTCGCGACGGGCTTGTCCGGCGTGGAGGAGTGTATCGTAACCAAGCCCTTGTTGGCCGTGACGAGTAGGTTGAACGCGTCGGGACCTTCCTGCACGGTGGACGACACGGTCGGCACCTGCTTGTCCCGGTAGCGCCACAGCGCATCGAGAGAGTTGTACCTCGTCAGCGCGTGATACTCGAGCAGCAGCTTCTGCTCCTTGAGCTCGAATGCCTCGAACCACTGGCCGGGCAATTTGTTGAACGCCTCGTCGGTCGGAACGAAGATGGTGATTCCCTCTCCCGACTGCCGGCCTCCGAATACCACGTCCACTCCCGTCTGCGTGAGCAAGCTCACGAAAATGCTGTACCCTCCCAGGTCCTGCAATGTCCCGGTGATGTTGGCAGCTCCGCGAGGAGTCTCGAACCCCACTGGCTGCAGCGTCCGGTCTATCATGATGACACTGACGTCCGAGGGCTGCAGAAACACCGTGCTGATCACGGTCGAGTTCTGACTGCTGTCGACGGCGGAGCTGCCTATGAATATATTCGACGGGGTGTTGTAGAGGTTGACGCTCGCGTCGTCGGCGTTGGCCGGGCCGGTGGTTCGGAAGAGAGTGCCCACTCTCGTGTAGTTGGCGATGTCCAGGCGCTGGAGGTTTTGGATAGTCAAAAAGTCGAGGAGAACGTGGTAGCGCAGAAGGTTGGCTACCCTGTCCCCCTCGAGAGCGGGGTTCGCGCTCCTGAAATCCGTCATCGCTTCGTTGGAAGGAGCGAGGACGGTCACACCCTGTCGGCGATTGATTTCGCCTGCCACTCTCGTGTCGGTCAGCAGCTGGTTGAAAATGCTGAAGTCGGGAAACTCATCGAAAATCGATGTGATGTTGAAAGTAGCTGCCCAAGTCAAGACCGTGAAGTTCAGAAGTAATGACCCCACCAGACTCGGCACAACCGTCTTCTGTCTTCCCATGTGGACTTCGAGATATTCCACGATTCCCACTCGAGTTTCTTTCTGGTCCAGCTCAATTCTCGAGTCCCTGATCTCACAAGTCACTTCTCGGAGAGTCTGACAGCTGGAACGTTAAGAACCTGCCTCATGTATCACTAATGATCGGCTGAATGGCCAGATTGAATCACCCGAAGAGAAGACACTGCCTCACTGCACAAATTCCAGGTCGCTACCCTGGCACCTGAACTCGGTCGGATTTCTAAATAAGTAAATGTTACCAAATTTCTGCAGAGTCTACGTCGAAGAGAATGTACGTTGAATTCGACTGATTGCTCGGCTGAAGGCAGATATCGATATATCGTCGTAACCTTCTTCTGCTCGCGCCACTGAGCGACCAACTGTGTGAAAGCCACACAGCGCAGCCGTGTGGCTTGAAGCACAGGACAGGGAAGAGAAAGGACGTCCTTGAGGGAGAAAACGCACAATGACGGGGCTGTCGCTCGCCAGGTATGGTGTGGTTGTGCGGGGGACGTTCAGGACAGACCTTCGGTAAGCCGGAGTGGGAAGAATCTCAACCCTGGAGAGGACTCGGCCTGTGGCCATGGCACTCGTGCTCGGACGAGTTAGACCTGGATCAGAACGAATGAACAGTCGAAGTTGCGAGCTTCGACATCTTCTTGATTTGCAACGAGTCTAGCTGGACGCTGGGCACGTTCTGTCACGGCTTGAGTGCAGCTCAAAAAGCTACCAATCTTAGACAGCATGGAAATAATGCAGAGGCAAGAAACGGAACTTGTTTAATGGGCCTTTCCATTTTTCGACCCATGAGTTTCTAAGTAAGGAATGTTCCGACTGTTCAACAGCAGATCCGGATCTACAGTCGTCTCTCTCGTGTGCCCGTAAGAAGCACCCGTGTGCCGAGTCGGAGTCATGAGACTCGTGACACAAGGAGGGCGAAGAGATTCAGCAGCAAAGGGCTCATCTATATTCATCCCTGCATGTTTTTGTTGCGGAGGCGGCACTCTGAGTCATGCAGTTGCCGAATTCTTTGCAGTGTGCAATATTCATATTTTTCGTCGATTGACGACTTCGAGCGGTAGCAGATCTTGAGGCTACAGGTTTCCTCCCTCGTGGAACTCTTATAACACGAGTGAATGAAATAGTGTGGCGGCATTCTGATTGCGAAAGGGATCCGGTACGAGATGTACATTTGAAGCTTCAGCCACCAAACACTTCATGCTCGAGAAGTCAAACCATGCTACATTCACTTGTAACAATGATCACTTGAGCACGACCGGATTGATTGTAGGATGCAAGAGCTGACTGGCTATCCCTTTCCACGAGGATGGAGCCAACGTGATGAACAGTTTCCTACTCACGTTGTTTGTGCTTCTGACCTCATTAACAGAATGGAGCCCAGTCGACGAACTTGTGACGTTTCTTGCGATCATGTTGTACGCGCAATGTTGACAGTGTTGATGGCCAAGGGTTCCAAATCGCAGTTCTACACGTTTCGTCGACGGGAAACTTTGGCCCAGAACTGATAAATGCTGAAATTGTAAAGATCTTCTGATTCACGTGTCAACAATCCCAGCTAGCTCTTCTAGACTTCCAGCCTTTTAAATTAAAATTCCACATATCACCCTTCAAAAAGTGTTGTTTGAAAGTACAATTGGGTCTAGGATGAGATTGAATCTCATCCAACTCGAACATACGAATACATTCTAAATTGGCCAGTTGCATGCGCCTAGACCCACAACAACTACTTATTACCTACACCACGTGCACGCACGGAGAGTTACTCATCAAATCTCAGAGTATGAATCTAGGTTCTCACGTAGATTCTTCATCATCCAAGTGAATGACGTCTGCCTCTGCGTAGGTAGCACATAATGAACGAGAATGCAGAAAGCGTTGAGCGACATCAAGGAATGGAACGCCATTCTACAACCAATCGCCTGTACGATAAAATTGACCCACAGAACTCGGGCCTTGTATTATTCTCCTCACTTGTTGCCTGAATGAACGAGTTTTGTTTGCTCTCTTCTGGTGGGCAGAGGACTTCAGTGTTCAGACTGCTTTAGACAACCCGGTTGATCAGATTCAAACTTGCTGTGGTCATAATCCTCAAGCAGTGTCCTGTCTACTTAACGGGTACGGCAAGTCATCCCTTCGGACGACGGAGGCATAGCCATGTGACTCGAACTGGTCAATGTAACGAGGCGAACCATATAAACATAAATAAGCTCATAGGACATGGCATTCACAAGGCATATACAGAAACGCTGCTCCTAGCACACAAATATGATGCGCAACAAAACCAAATATCTTGAAATTGATGTAATGATCGCCACTCAATTGCTACCGTGGCACGAAGATGAGAGTCGTTCTTTCACACAGCTACAGGCGGGCTGATGCCTTCATCGATGGAATGAGCAGTGCACAACGGACATGCATGAACCTCGTCTGACATTGTGCAGATTTCTGGGCTCTCGGATCACCTTCTGTTGATTCCTCGGTCAGCCATCAGCGTATGCACCGAAAAGCAAACCTTGTGCAAAGCGTCAGAGTGTTAGTGACCTGAAATCATGAGTAGAAAGAGATGAAGAGAGATCTTCAATACCGTACTTGCAGAAAATCTTTCTATGACTATTTTAAGTGAAGGATTTTAAATGCTCACTTTGGCAGGCTAGGACGAACGAAGCTGCAAAGGGTTTCGCAGAGAGAAATGCCGTGAATTTTAATCCCGAAGAAATCTATTCATCTTTAATATCTCGTAAAGACTCTCTCGGTTCAAAGTGGTGGACGATATTATCGTGCCTCGAGGCTATCATTGTGCTCTAGTCGTCGGGCTGATAAGTCCATATAAGGATGTTGAAAGATATTGACCCCTCCTAAACTGTTTAACAAGTTGTGCGTGTGTGTGTCTGTTAAATTCTGTCGAATTTGGTCTGCATCAACACATAATCAACTTTCCACAATATCACAGAGCATCTGAGCCTGAGACCGAGACCTTTTCTAAGCCGTCTAGCTAATATTGTAAGTTAATGGTATGAAAAAATTCTCATATAAATCGTGAGGTTACAAATTTTCGAAAATCGTGTCGATTCAACTGGTTCACGTTTTTCAGTAAAGATTGAGAGTTTATACTTGGGGACTAGTTATTAGAGTCATGATCAGATGCTAGCAGTTGTTGCAGTCTCTAAGAAGTTGCTATATACTTGGCTTCTGACTTCTTCTTTTCATTTGTAAAGAATGTTCTACAAGGTTTTTCTTCCGTGGAGTTTTCACATGTGCAAACAAAACGCTCAACAGACTAAACGGTAAACTTCCAGATTTGAAGATGTACAAAAAAATTGTTCAGTAAGGGAATAATGGATGGAATTAACTGCTATTCAGCTGTCACTTAACCCAGCTCATAAATTTCTGGTATAACACTGAAAGAAGATTATATTTCCAAATTTACTTATAGGAAATATCATTCGACTATCATTTCGAGTCGGTCATACGTGCAAAGTATCCTCCGTAGCGGAATCTGTCAACCTAGAGATTCCTTATGTGAGAATTCTCTTTGTTAAAATAAGAGCGAGTAGAGTAGTCCACTTGTGTCCAAGCAATCGAAGAACAGCTCATGTCCTTATTAAGCACATCCAAACTCATATGATGGGTTCTGATCTCGTTTTACATGCGTTAGAGTGCTAGTTACAAAAGTGATTTACAAAAAGCGGGTTCATATTAAAGCAAGTAGAAAAATGACAGAATTTCGGAATTTCTGAGTATTAGATTCTAGCAACCCAACAACAAAATTGCAAGTATCATTTTTGTTTAAAAGAAAAACTCTAAACTCTGTATAGTTACATACTCTTTGGACTAACTTTTGTTGTATAAGTCTAGGTTTTTTAATCAGTAACCAATGCTTAGATAACATGTGCAAGAATAGTTGGTATTGGGGCTCGTCTTTACTGTAAAGAAAAGAAAAATGATATTGCCTACAAAAAGCAAATGCTCGAGGAAAGTAAAAGTTTCTTTTACTATATAAATTTTTCAAACAAGAAGTGTCCAAATATATCATTGTGTTGCAGATTACATCTTCAGGTTCAAAATTTATTGCTGACAATGATTTTTTATTGAAGAATACCTGAAACCCTATACCCCTGTTGAACAGGCAAGTATAAAAATAAAACCATAAAAGCCATCAAAAACTACAAATTGGGCCCAGCATGGTTATCCTTTTCTCCAAAGCTCGCTGCAACCCAAGATTGGAGATTTTCCCAGTAGAACTGGCCAGCAGAACACGTATCAAAAGCAGCATGTGGAGTAAGCACAAACTCAGAAGTCTAACTTTATAATCACAACGGATACTACTGGAATTGCCCTCAAATGTTCACTTCCTTCCGATTGCAGTTTACTCCTTGACTTCAATATTGCAATGTTCAACCGACAAACGAGTGTCGATGAGCAAGACTCTACAAATGCGTGAGAATATTGGAGAGATGCCCATGCGCCGCCCTCGCTGAGCTGAGTTTAACCCCTATTCTAAGTCCTCGCAAGTGCATGGGAATCATGGAGAGGTTCTCATGCACCACACCGTGCTGAGATAAGTTGAAGGCTTGATTGGCGAGGATTGCTCCATGTTCTGATCTGGTCTTGCGTCAGGCTCATCTTTCCAGTTCAACATCATTCCAACGTAACCTTCTAAATCCACGTCAAAGATTCACCGCACGAGAAGGGGAAATGGGGGGCCAGGAATTGCAAATGACCCCAGCAAGCCACGCCCACGCTCTATTTGATTTTCTTCCTTCTTTCGTGTCTTGTTATCCTCAATTTTATATCCATGTGGTCTATTTCATTTAAATATGGATTAAAGGCCAGGTCCACATTGAGGGAAGAAAGCCGGTTGCATTTTTTAAACATCTTGCGTTTCAAACGCTGTGATGGATGGTGCTCTCATAGATTAGTTAAATTATTTGTCACTGCGTGCTACTCACGTCATGTTCGAATGCTATGGTCTTAAATAAGGTTCTTAAATGGGACACTTGACTTCGAGCAAATTTATATTCCCATGAAAGTGACTTTCCTGGCGCACAGAAACTTTAAAACTAAGTACGGAGCGCATGTGCCGAATCTACATCGTGATACAATTTTCGACCTCATCTTTGCCCAAATTGAACATACTGCAGGCTAACTAGCACTGTTGGGTGCTGTATTCAAATCGGCCATAGCTGACACAAATGTTGCGAATAAAATTTTTTAAACTGAAGGCAGAAAAATTCATTAAGTTTGTTCCAAGTTTGTAATACGGCTTCACACCAAAATGATCAAATTAACGGTCAATCCTATTAAGAAGTATCTCGAACACTATGGCTATTTTTTTTCATTTCACTAGAAAGAATTACAGTACATCGAGTAGCGCGCCTTCGATGAAGAAAAGCTCGAAACAGCGGACTTTAGAGCTCTAGCTTAAGTCATCAACTTAGAAGATTGTAGACTTGGATTATAAGCAAGTATTTGCTCTATGTTGCAATGCAAGATTCATTTTAAATGAAGTTCACTCTTTTAGTTAAAATAAATATTGCACATCGTTTTCTAATTACTGACTTTAAGATGATTTAGCTACTTATTACCGTATGATACGATATGAGGAACACAATCAACACAAGTAAATTTGTGAAACCTATGCATTAGTTTTAACATGATCATATCAATTTTCAAATACTCTATGGTAATCTTAAGTTTAAATATGAATAAAATTAAACTTCAAAATTATTGGCATAAATTATAACAAAACTTCTATAAAAGTCAATTTGCAGTCGCAAAACATGTATCATTATCCTATGTGACGTTGTTGATGCAATAATATTTCAATTTGCTAGCATCTTTTAGCGAGTTGTTAATATCAAAGTGTCATGTAATGACATTATTTTATGAAGATTTGAAGTCTGGTTTAACAGAATTTATATTATTTATGTTTTGAATTAACATTGGTTTACATGAATAAGCTTCTTATAAAAACAATATTCATTGAGAAAAAAACGTAAGCTTTTCCATATGCTTCACGTATGACCGCAATATGTTGCACACATGCAAGTCTCCTGAAATCAGAATGGGCGTGCCCATGGCAAATCCACTCTGGTAATTACTCCAACTCTTAATAATCCTAATTCAGTCTATTGTACACACAAAAGTTCTACTCTCGCCGTGGTGGAGTAAAGGCATATACATCCCTAGCCCCGGACCGACAACATTGTTATCATTGTTGTTATGAATTGTTTTGGGAGTGAAGCGAGTCATAAACCTCGCCTGGAAGGTATATTCCCTATTATAGATGCTACTATAGATGCCACTCCCTACGCCAACATTCTCCATAGATAAGAAAAAAGGTGAAGACAGTATAGCCTCGTGTTTAATTTCACAGATATATAGTAAAACGTCTAGTACAAGCAGAGCCACATATCCAGTGAAAAGATGAAAAATAATCAAATAACCATATGACCTCATACATATTTAGTCCTAACGAGTCGTTGTGATTCACACATGGCTGTATCTTTTGTTGAGATCTATGCGGGTGTCGTATGAACAGCTCACTCTTAAATAGGGTTAGGCCACGCTCACGTAAGTCGAAGGCGATAAATCTTGTTCATCCAAAAATGATATCTAAACAGCAATTATTGTCACCGGATTATCATTTCCCAAACTGATAGATCCATGAAATTTATTAAATCGTTGTCGGTAGTCCGAGTAAGTGAGTTGAAAATATCAATGGTAGTGAAGAGAAGAAGGAACTTGCTGAACACGCGTCCATTTAGACTACGAAGCACGAACTGCTGTTTACCAGTTACAATGCCTTGTCGAACGAACTGGAGTATCTGATTCCGATGGGGAGCATGGTTGAAAATTTACTTACATCTATGCTTTTTGTCTCTTCTCACAGCAAAAGCAACTATGTACATCCAGCCAATGAGGAAAAAATAGAGAACGACTATAAAAAGTATGTATTCATATGAAAAATCAACGAGCAATGAGGATTTCATGTGAGCTCAAACTAGCCACCGAGCTAAACTGCGATGGCTGAGATCGCCTCAGCAAAGGAGGAGGCAGTAAGTGAAAGATTTTTTTTCGAAAATTTGATTTTAAAAATGGATGAGAGTCGTTCACCTGCATTGTCGCACAAAGGACATATACTCTAGTCAAACCCCAGTCAAACCCGACTCAAAGTGAGACGCACGATTGCCTACTTTCGGTCCTGCAAAGACTTTCTCGATTCCGCTTGCCTAATTCTTCGCAGCTTCAGAAATAACTCGGAGATCTTTTCAGGGAACTGGAATATAGAACGGAAGTTACATTCTCGTATGGTGCAGTAGAGCTTGCTACAGATGCACATTAAGAAGCTCAGAACAGACTGGCTGAAGACGTAAAATCTGGCGCTGGCTCCAGGTCTTGATCAGTCTGGGCTTTGTTTTCAAGGCTCAACATGGCTCCATCGAATTCCTACCACGAGGCGAACATATACATGAATGAATTTGCCGGGGACAGAACGTATCGTCACAGCCCATGGACGTCGAATCCGATACTGAGCGCTCTGGTTTTCATTGCTATCGGCACCACCCTCGTGTTTTACATACAGGCGAGGTCTCTGACTCGGAAGATGAGACCCTCCGTGGCTGGAGTTCCTGTTCGCTTGCCTGCAACCATTGTTTGGGGGCTGTTTTCACTTCAGCATTCTCAAATTTCTCACGTGCACGCGGGGACTGTTCAGAGCGACGGTGGAGTCGTCCATTTCAGCTTAGGCTGCAGTCCAGGAGTGCAATATGATGTTCAAAGCTTCCAGTCGTTGAGAGATGCAGATTCAAGTGCTTTGAAATATCAACATGCTAATGCTTCACTGGTTCTCTCCGAAGTTGAGAACCTCGGAAGCTTGCAGCAGGTACTTCACTCCTCAGCTGTATACATGAGAGCTCCGCTCTCTTGAAGTTCTCCACTATATTCTCCACTATCATCTCCCTTATCCTTTCGAAGTTCTGAACGCATAAATATCTGTCATTCTTGACAGATATTTATTCATGAATTATTCGTTATTTCGATTTGATTGTTGACTTGAGTGCTACTTCTCTCTCGTTCTTACGTTCTTACGTAGAGGTACAAAGTTCCGAAAGTAAGCGGCTTTCAGGATCAGTTTTATGAACAGGACTGTTCCTTACTAAACAAAGAATTCAAGGTTCGCAGCTCCTTTGTTAGATGGATGAACTCCAGTTTCATGGAGCCTTTTCTTGCGTAGAAAAGCTTTACATCTTTCAAAACGGAGAGATCGTCATAGAAGAGGAAGTGCGGTAATTAACGGGATGTCCTGAAAATGTTCTTTTGCTTTGCAGATGGAAGATTTGAATGATGGAATGAGAGCAAACTGCGATCAACGAGCAGTTGATTTGAAATACGAGAATAGGACCTGTTTAGACTGTCAGACTTTTCACATCCAAGGTGACCAAGATACTAACAAACGCAACGAGATACATGAAGCTCTAGCGAGGGCTCAGCTGGAGGAGCAGATTATATCAGAAAGAATCGTGTTCGAGAGCTTAAGAGTTACGCGATGAACAACCACAGAGGTAGAGCATTCCCTTACCCACAATCGGAGCATTCATGCGCTACGTTCAACTCATAGGCCTCTGTTACTGTGTAACATGAATATCAAATAATCGTTTTTTCCTCTTCGTGGTTCTGATTGTATTCGTGCAGAGTTCCAGTAATCTATTTAGGCAGATGCTTCAAAAGCTGGTTATCCAGTCTACACACCAAAGATCACAAAAAGGTTATCGGTGATCTTTGATGTACAAGCGCACACAACACACACGAACAAGAACGAAGGTTCAGTCGTCTCTACTAACTTCTGATCTATCAAAGGCAGAAGCACAAGCATACGAGCTTCGACTTCTGCACCTTGCTCGAAGAACTTGTCAAAACTCGGGACCTACTATAGAGTCCACAAGATCCGCCTGCAGCTTAATATTTATAAATATATTCGTAGAAGAATGCACGAGGGTACGTCCGTCCGTGGACAGTGGTAATATCATTTGTGATCTACGGACAAAATATTAAATTAAAGGTGCACGGGTTCTAGAATCTAGTAGTGGATAAGATTGTAGCTCAAGTACCTTCAGGCAGAAACTCTAGGACGTCGCTTGTATAACCCACTGCAAAGTAACAGAGGCCGGCTGGGAGGCGTATCGTTTCTTAGTCTGCGCTTATCGAGGATCCGATACCTTACTGGCAGTTTAGGCAAGAATACAGTGAAGTATTAATGGTCACTCTGTAAATCGATTGACCATGTACACTATTTTTGTTCTCGGGAATTTCATTTATACAGACTGATCGTGACACGTGTAGATGAAGAAATTTACACGATGTCAATGATTCGAGATGTGCTGATCACATCGAGAACACGATTTTGATCTCACATGCATCTTCTCGCTTCACTTACAATCATATCAGATCGTTTACCGAGCTCGTGCGGTAGGAAGGAATGCCAAGTATCCATAGGCTTTGGGAGGCATGGTGTAACTGATATTGCCACTATCATCTCCCGATCACAGTAGGCTGTAACATATCATTCATAATTCATCTCACTGTCACACCCGAAACTCCATGACTCCACTTCCATCTCCTCGCGTACATTATATTTCGTTAATCTTTTGTCAATTCAGAGCTGCCAAGGACATTGGTTCCGTCAAGTCATTTCCGTCTTGCAGCTTTGACTTGGTTCCGATTTCTTCGCTTTTTGTGAAATATTCCCCTTGGATTATAATTGTTGGTTCACCCATGAGTAATTGACTGCAAGTTTCTACTCACCCAATGCGCGAAATTCTTATAGTACTGGCTGGTCACATCAGAATAAGGTCGACTAGAGAATGACTGGTAGGCCGGTGGGAACCTTGACTGTGATACGTAGGAGGTCTGCGAGAGTGGAGATGATAATGAGGAGCATATATACGGTTCAACCGAACTGTACTGATTTATCAGATCTCCAGACCATCCATATCTCTTCAATTTCTGACAATGAAGAGACCAAATGATTCCACCTTTTGTAACCGATTCCTAAGAATGCTATGATGTATTATTTCATTTCATCACATTTCATATCTTACGTTCTGGTCTAGTTGGTTGATGTATTCGTGTTTCACCCGAGAGATTCGGGATCAAATCGCCGCAACGGATAAAAGAAGCGCAAATATTCAACAATATCATATTAATCTAATTCCCGTCGTGATATATTTTCGAAATGTTTCTTTTCTTATTAAGTAGACTAGTTCAATTTCCCACAATTTCATTTTGCTCCAAAAATCAAAGAAAAGATCAAAATTAGATCTTCATAATTTTAGCGTCTTCAGACCGTAGATATCTCTACAATTTCTGAAAGTCTAAAATGAATATAAATTTAAAGTCTTCAGACCGTCTATATCTCTTCAATTTCTGAAAGTCTACAATGAATAGATCAAATGATTTAACCTTTTTGTAAACGATTCCTACCAATGATGGAATGTTTCAATTAATTTCATTTTATTTCACATCTGCCGTCGTGGTCTAGTTGATTAAGATATTTGTGTTTTATTTGAGATATCAAAGTTCAAATACGGGCAGCGAAATAAAACATTGCGAAACTTTAACAAGATCTTTATAAAATCAAAGTCTTGTCAAAATCATGATAAATTTTTGCAATGTTCCTATTCTTATTTTATAGACTAGTTCAACTTCCCACAATTGCATTCTGTTCCAAAAATCAAAGAGAATTTCAAAATTAGATCTCAATAATATCAAACTTTTATACCGTGTGGTAATCCACTTTTTGTTTTTGTGCGGAATTTAAAACATTTTTGGAAAATAGTACCGCAGAAGCAGCAGTGTAAACAGTAATCGGTGCATTTAAATAGAGTGAAAATGGATAAATTGCCAGTCTCATAGAATCTCGTAAAATCCAGAAGTTGGGCGCAATGTCCGGAACAGGCGTTCCGGCCCGAATGATCGATTCTGAAGGGAATCTCCTTCGGCGCTAGGGAAATCCCTCAGAACTTATTCAATTTATAACCACTTGATTTGATTAGGGTTTTGTTGGAAAGACATCCACGCGCTTGTTCTAACGAGCCCAAGGACGCTTGAAACGGATGAGGAATCAAGGAGTTACGATTGTCTGAAGATACTGAGAGGGAACGCCTTTGGCGGAAGGGCTAGGTCGACGGACGAGCCGCCTTCGGCCCTAGGTCAACGCCTTCGGGGGTGAAATCCTTCGTACGAGCTCCTACGGCGCCAGCGCATCAAGATTAGGTCAACGCCTTTGGGGCAAGCAACTCCGTATGGTCCGACTTCGGCCCACCGCCTTCGGCGGTACGGACATGTGCGCCTTCGGCGAAACGGAACTCCTACGGCAAAAGCGCCTTCGGGAGGACAAGAGGGATCGACAGAAAGGACAAGACCAGTTGACTGCGGTCAACGCCTTCGGCGTTGCGCCTTCGGCGATGCACCTACGTCGACGGACGTCTTCAAGAAGTTCGCCTTCGGCGTTGGGAGTCAATGCCTTCGGCGGTAGAAGTTCGCCTTCGGCGGAGCGCCTTCGGCAGTGCGAGATAGAATAAAGATGCCAGTCGGCCAGAGGCGAAAGCTTCCGTCGCCGCGCCTTCGGCGATACGCCTTCGGCGCTGCGCGAACAAGGTCACGGCGAAGTACGATGGTAGAAATCAAATTCAATTTTGAAGCGTGTGAGTCCGCGCAACGGCCGAGCGTGAAGCCGAGCGTGCGAGAGGAGTGCCGTTACGCCTCCAAGCCGGCGCAGCCATCAAGTGAGTCGACCCCCACGCCAAGTGTCGACGATAAAATCTTGTGAGCCGAAGACTGGCGATTCATTCTTGAACTTGCGATTTCAATTTCACGTGAGAGCTACGCGCGCACGCATTTTGGCAGAGAGAAATCAGAGGAGAAGGCAACGCGCAGAGACTGGCAAGACAGAGAGAGAATTGAGCGCGCAACCGCAGGAATTGAGTGAGAGTTGAGCACGCAGAAGGATCGCATCCGCGGGCAAGAAGCTTGGGCATAGCAGAGGAGAGTTTGCGCAGTGCAATTTCAAGAACGCGATGTCGAAAGCAACACAGCTACGTATGATTCCGCTGAAGCTTCCGCAGATTGAGATGCGCGCTTTCTAGCACGAGCTGACTGCGGTGAAGCTCAATTTACTCCTGTGGGGGTGGAATTATGTGTGCCAGTACATGGTGCGTGAGTGGCAGAAGGAGAGAGACCAACCTACTCGCGGGTTTCGACCGCACGTAGAGCGATGGGTCATCGAGGACTCGGAACATGTGTTGGGAAGATGTGCGGGAGAGGACGGACATCTCCTATTCGATAGCGAGAGCATCAAGATCACGAAGGAGGAGGAGATTTACTTCGCGGCCCTTTTCAAGAGCAGCAAGTCCAGCAAGAACGGGTACAAGACCCGTGACTACAAGGATCGCTACCGCAGAAATGTCGCGGTAACACTTCTCCAACTCTTGCAGCCGCACATGACCACCTACCTCACTTCTTGGCAAGTGTCATGTAATAACCCACCAAAGGCTAAAACTGCAGTATGGTGGTAAAAAGATCGAACGCACAGGGACAGAGGCAACACACAGAGTAAAAGTGTCACGTTTAACAGACTTTTGTAGAGTTTGAATTCTAGGCGACTGTCACTCCCAGAAATACTGCAGTGCTCGACTCGGAGGCTCGACTCGGAGGAGGATCTCGACTCGGAGGATGCTCGGAGGATGCACGGTACAGCGTGGTCACTCAACACACACACACACCCACACCTGAAAACTGGCAAAAGCACAACTCAGAGGTCGGTCAGGACCTCCGCTTCGGATTTCAGGAGGAAAGTGTCTCAAAAGTTCACTCAGAGGTTCTGCAGGTAGTGACTCCCACTCCGGCTTTTACTGCCCTTCCGCCAGGAACTAGCGTAGGGTACACGGACTGGACTTCCCACTTCGGAACGAAGCCTCTTCATACGCCGTGGACGTCACCCTCGACTCTCACACCAAACGCAGGGAGTGCAGACCCGACTGAGAACTTAACTGAGACACGATCCAGTAACACACACACAACCTGAATTGCAAACCAAGGCTTACACGAAGTAATAAAACTTCACTTTGGCATTCAGGGGAAACTTCCCGTAGGAGTACAATCAAGATATGTCACTCGAAGGAGTAAGGGGAAACTGTTCAAGTCTCTAACTCGCAGCCGGCTCTAAGCATCAGAAATCACCCGCAGGTGCAGATCCGCACTACTCAAGTCTCTAACCGGGTGCTAGCTCTGAACATTCAGCCGAAGGCCTTCAACTACAACATACGGTAACTTCGCTATGCTGCAGCTTCTCTACGTGGTGCCAGGACCAAAATGCACAAACACGCCAAGAAAGTGAGTTCCTGATCTGCACTTCCGAAACTGGAAGAGTCCCAAGGCAAAACGCCTTGATCTATTTTATACCCTCAAAGGTCCTAACTAGCACTACGCTATCCTATCTACTACTCGCAACATCTGCGCGAAACCAAAGTATACTACTGCACTCGGCGGATCCGGTGCTGCGCCTCCTGCGCGCCGGACTGCTCCGCTCGCTGTCTCTACCTTGCCAGTCTTTCGACCGGCTGCGCAACCCCAGACGTCGGAGGGCTGCAGTGACTTCCGACTCTAAGTGCGCCATAGTGTCGCGCGCACACGACAAGAAGGTTTCTAATTTCCTCACCACTCGCCGCCGACTCCGACTGTCACCCTCCGTCAATGCCGCCGCCCGAAGCTCGAACTCCCTGAGTGTGATCCTCTCTTGAGCTGCCACCTCCCAATGGGCGTATCCTTTTAGGCAGTGAGTCACCCGCGTCGCCAACTCTTCTCGCGCCCTGCAGCTGCCTTCCACCTCTGCTAGCTGCATTTCCGCTTCCGCACGCTGCGCCCTCAAATCCGAGCACTCGGATTGCAAGTTGCGCAACAACTCCTCATCCTCCTTGCGAGCTCTTTGACTTTCTTCTAAGGCGCGCGTCTGGCGCGCAAGCTCGGCTGCTAGGACGCGATTTTGTCTCCGCTCTTCCTGCAATTCCGACTCGATCTTTGCCCGCATTAGCTCGGCATCCGCCTGACTTTTCGTCGCCGCATCCTCCCTCTGCTGCTGCAAGGCTTGGTATAGCTTCTGTGTGACCGCCAGGTGTTGTCGGAGGGCGGTGTTCCTATCCACATATACCTGGCACTTAGAGGCCCAAATGGCCACCTTGCTCCTCGTCCTTCGCTTGATAGTCTCCACATAAGACTGCGGTTTTCCAATACCCGCGTACTTGGATGTCTTGCGATCCAGATATCGCAGGAGTGGGACTATCTGCTCGCACAACACCCCTGTTGGCGTTTTCTGCACAGAATCCGCTTCCTGCTCTTCCGAGCTCGTCTCATCCTCAGTCTCGAGGATTTCAGTCGCCACCGAATCCCTTGGCGACTCCCTGGAACTGTGGCGCGCAGCAGCTTCTGCTGCGACTACTGCTCCACTGCCTGCTAAAATATCCAGGGCAGTGGGGGATCCCACTGCTTGAGCCCCTGTTCCGGCTCGATCTTCGGTCTCCGAAGGGGTCGACGCCGC